TCTTTCTTTCTTTCTTTCTTTCTTTCTTTCTTTCTTTCTTTCTTTCTTTCTTTCTTTCTTTTTCACCCTACCTCCCTCCATTTCTGCAGCTGCCCATTTCAGTCAATGATACTGGTGTCAACTCATAAAGCTAAGTTAGCTGAGTTAATTAGGGCATCTTACGGAAACCTGACAACTGGATGGCTTACAATTCAAAAAGGAAAAAAAACATAATTATTAAAAATACTAAAAACATTTTAAACCAATAAAAAACATAAAGCATTCAGATTAAATATACATAGGAGCAAGCTACTTGGCCAGATAGCAATATAGCCAATTGGGTCCTTAACATATTCAGCATCAGAGGCACGGGAACACAGCCAAGTTTTTAAGCCTTTATGAAAGGCTTAGAGGTTTAGAGCGAAGTACAAACAACTGTTGGGTGAGACTAAAGGGGAAGTTGACAAAAAGGGCAAATATTGCTGGATATCAACCTCTTCCAGAAATAGATTAGTTCTTCCTTTCATAAAACAGAGAGCTAAGTTTGGTAGTGGTTAAGGTGCTGACCTAGAAACCGGAAATGGTTAGTTCCAGTCCTGCCTTAGGCAAGAAAGCTGGCTGGGTGACTTTGAGCTAGTCATACTTTCTCAGCTCATCTCATCTCAGTGGTTTCTTGTTGTAGAGAAAATAGACAGAAGTATTAGGTATGTTGCTATACATACACATACAATAAAAATATAATGTAGAACTGTCCAGGCCTGCTCTAATTATTTTTCTGCAAAATGTAGGTTACTGCTGTATTTCTTTTGACCATCACAGAGTTTGGATTGAGTCAGTGGTGGGTTCCGGATCTCATCACAACCGGGACACTGTGACGAGACCGGGCATCCACCACATGCATGTGCGCTGTGCACACATGCACACCCACTGCCCAGCGATGCTCCAGATGCTCGGTGGAGCGTTGAGCAGGCGCAGTATGCTCCGTGCGCATGCGCAAATGGCCCACGTGCGCATGCGCAAATGGCCCAGTTGGCTCAAATGCAGGTAAGGAACGCGGGTGGACCCTCCAAAGTACCATTCTAGTACAGTGCCCCTTACTGGGGCGTACCTGCCAGAACCCACCACTGGATTGAGTATGCTACACAATACATATTTATTAACTTCCATTTCATTTTTTTCATTTTTACTAAATCCGTCCGTCCTCCCTCCCTCCCTCCCATAAAGCTGCCTCAACTCAGAGACAAACTGGCTGGATAGTATTTTATTTATTTATTCAGTTTATATTGCCTTCCATCTCACATAGGTGCATGGTATTGGATGGCTTATGAAGTTAAAAACACACCACAAAGTACAAAAATAATCAGATAGATGAAAACATTCAGCATTACAAACAATAAAAAACTGTAATAACCATAAAAAAACTAATCAGCATGCAATTAAAACCAACACAAGCCAGACATTTCAAATATTCATACCACCAACTTATCTTATGGGAATCTATGGGAAAAGCCAGTTTGTAAAGAAATGCTTAAACGCTTGAAGCCACTCCCAAAGGGTAGGAACAGAGAAGACTCCATGATGCTGCCCAGTGAATGAGATTTGAAGTTCAGGATGAGCAGAAGTAATGAATGAGAGGCAGTCTCTGAGCCAGATTCAATGTCATAAAGGAGTTTACAGTTGGTGACCGCCATTTTGTGACTGGAAGCTCAGTTGCAAAGTTCACATAGCAGAGATATTTCAAGGACTTGCCAAGATGTATCCATAGCTTTTTCCGCTGCTCATTCTGCATGAGCTGTAGATCTAAAGTGGTCTTCAGAGGTAGCTTTATGTAGAGCACATTGCAGTAATCCATATTTGAAGTGACCAAATATGAGTGACCATGAGGAGAGATGAGCAATTGGTCATTAGATGATTCTGTGCAAAGAACCAACCACTGCTATTTGTTCCTTGAACAGGCAGATCGTGTGAGTTCTGGATAAGTACACATCAGCTCTGTGTAACTCCATTCAGAGCCAAAGATCAAAAATCAAGAGGACCAGACAATTTATGCATCCATAAGTATATGGTCTTTTCAGGAGTAAACTTTAGCTTGTTACTCCCATCCAGGCCCAGGAAACTTCCAGACACAGACATGAATTGACATAGCATAACTAGTACACTGGAGATACCTGATCTCGTTGCTGAATAGCAGCCAGTAATTTCATGTAAATGATTAATAGGAGAGGTGAGAATATCAAGCCCTGAGGTACTTTGCAAACCATGTGGTTGGATAGACCTCCCTCCACTTGGCAACATAAACTGGAACTGGTCACAGAGAAGAAAAACTACTTCAACAACATGCTTACTACTTCATGGATCCAAGTTCACATTCTTTTCCAGGAAGACTTTAGCAACTAGGAATTGGCATTAAGAGAAGAATTGCTACATTTTCCTGCTCTTAGCACCAAGTGTAATTTCTTATACGGTTTCTTACATATGCTTGGTCTGATTCTACTCTTGTCTTTTTTTCAGTAGCATCTAGGCATTCCTTCTACTAGGCATTCCTTCTACTATTCCATCTCTCACAACCCTTTGGAATACCAAGGAGTACTACAGGACTCACACACAGAAAAGTGCATTGATATAATTGGACACAAGATCCTCAGTGCACATCTATTTCAGATGGAGACCAAGACCATCAGATCCCCAGGAAAAGAAATCCCAACCTTTCTAAAATCCATCTGGGTCTATTAGTCACTTGGGACAGACTAATTACATAGCTTCTGACTTTTCTGTGGACAGAGGGCAGCACTAGGAAGCCAAAAGCAAAGTGATTTGTCCTTGGTAAAGAAATGATGGTAATGTAATCCATCTTCAGTTCACAACTGCCCAGAGACAAAAAAATAGTAGATCCAGTATGTGATCCTTGATACATATTGGACCAGTGGTGGGATACGCCCGGTTCATGCTGGGAGCACCAGGTACCGTTTTGGTATGGTGCTCCGGAGGGACCACCCGCCCGCCAGTCCTTCTTACCTGTATTTGAGCCGATCGGGGCTTTGGTGCACACGCATGGAGCATATGGCACCTGTGCAATGCTCCGCCGAAAAGCTGGAGCATCGCGGGCAGTAAGTATGCATGTGCACATTGCGCATGTGCTGGACTCCCGGCCCCATTGCAGTGTACCGGTTGCAATGGGATCCAGAACCCACCACTGTATTGGACCCTCAAAAATTTGGTTCCGATCACAATGGCCATAATTACTGTGGCACACCAGCTTTATGACACACAAGGGCAAGTTAATGTTTCCACAAATTAACAGTTTTGCAGAGTCTGCTGCAGACTTGATAATCAAAGCAAGCTTTAGTGGCCAGTACAACATTTGCAAATCAACCTGCTTCCTAGGGACCGCCTAGGACAGTGATGGTGAACCTTTTCAGCACCAAGTGTCCAAACCGGAACGCGTGTGCATGTGCGCGCATGCATGTGCCGGAATGCCGAAAATCCGAAGGCCTGCTGGCCAGCATGTGCACACCTGTTTTTGGCCATTTTTGGCCATTTGTCCAGCCGTTTAGGGCCGTTTTCCCAGGCCATTTTCCAGGCTGTTTCCAGGCTGTTTTCCAGCACTCCAGCCCCCACAGAGACCAGCTGACCGGCACGCATGAAACCAGAAGAGCAACTGGCAACGGCACGTGTGTCCACAGAGAAGGCTCTGTGTGCCACCTCTGGCACGCGTGCCACACAGGTTCACCCTCACAGACCTAGGATCTCACAACATGTTATCTATGGCATAAATCCTCCAAATTTGTTAAGGCATTTGGATGACTGCTGTTACTCCAAACTTTGGGGTTGCAATTGCTGCCAAAGCCAAAACTCAGATGAGTCTATCTGCAAGAGGTGATCACCCAGTCTGAGTGATTCATATCAAATTAGTTGTCTCATCCATTATAAGATCATGGGTCTTGTCACTGCTTTATTATATATCTTCCTGGCATTTACCAGGCCCTCTGAGAATCCTTGTGTACAGCTCATGAAATAAAATGGATAATCCTGCAATAAAAAATAGAATGATCTTTTAGAGATTTCATTCCTAGTCCATCTGCTGTTTTCTAAAACTATTCTGCTAAATCCTATGAAAATGTTACTGACTGGTGAACTCACAAGAGTGATTTTATTATTGCAAAGCATCATGGAGTATTTTATTGTTGGATACTAGTATTCAGTGTATCAGAATTTTGCTTATTTATATTTCCTGTTTCTAAACCACCCATATTTTTCATAATGACTAACTTCATCATTTTTTTGAGAAATAAAGACATAAATTGCCATGTGATTTATAATAAGCAGAAGCCACTTGGTGTGGTTGTTGTGAAGGAAGTAAGTAAGGATAATGACTGCTTTGTGCATTTTTGATGCCTCAGGAGTAAAATTGTGTTAGCATAACTGTCTCTTTATCTTGTTTTTCCCACAGTTCATACAGCTAACTTTCAAAAGTAATTATGAAAGTTTTATTTCTCTTACTTTTTTTTTTAAAGAACGCAAAGGATCTTGGTCTGAAAGAAGAAATTCTAGCATTGTTGGTAGGCGTTCTCTAGAAAGAACCACTAGTGGGGATGAGGCCTGTAACCTGACTAATTTTAGACCAGCTACTTTGACAGTGACAAACTTCTTTAAACAGGTATTCCACCAATCTTGATATATTTACTCTTGCCGCAACTAGTCATATGTTGTTATTGTTATTATTTTAGAATATGTTATCCTAACTAGTTAAAGTTTCATTAGGCCTTCAAGAACTTCCCCATTGACTTTGCTTGTCAGAAGGTAGCAAAAGGTGATCCCATGACCCCAGGACACTGCAATTGTTATAAATATGAGCCAGTTGCCAAGCATCCAAATTTTGATCACGTGACTATAGGGAAGCTGCAACAGTCATAAGTGTGAAAAATGGTCAAGTCACTTTTTTCAGTGCTGTTGTACATTCAAATGGTCACTAAATGAATGGTTGTAAGTCAAGGGCTACTGTATAGAGGAGGACAACGTGGAATAGTGGTGGAGACTTGTTACATGGCTGGAAATGATTGCTTCCTTTATTTATCAATTATAGGAAGGTGACCGGTTGAGTGATGAAGATTTATACAAATTCCTTGCGGATATGAAGAGGCCTTCTTCTGTTTTAAGACGCCTGAGACCAATCACAGGTATAGTGTACATATCACTGCTGAAAAACATTGAAGGTTAGTTTTTGTTTTCTAGGCAAATGGTTATTTTAAAGTTTGATTATACTATAATTTGTCATTCCATAGCTCAGTTGAAGATTGATATTTCTCCAGCCCCAGAGAACCCACACTATTGTCTAACTCCAGAGCTGTTGCAAGTAAAACTTTACCCAGATAGTAGAGTTCGACCAACAAGAGAGATCTTGGAATTTCCTGCAAGAGATGTTTATATTCCAAATACAACTTATAGGTAAGAAGAAGAAAAATAATTTTAGCACATTCAAGTTTTGCAAACTTATTTTATATTCTGTTATTCTTCATGCAAACATAATTGGCTGAGGCAAATTGTATAGAGGTTGTGGAACACATTGAGACAAATTACTTTTTCAGTAATTGACCAATTATTGCTATAGATGATAGATTTTATGTTCCTCATTGAACCTAAACCACGTTCACCTTATGCTGTTGTTTTTGAATTGTATCAGTTAATTTGTATCACTGGTTTTCAGTTTAGCTTATATTCAGAAGATCACTTATGACACCAAAAGGTTAATTACCAGAATTTATTTTTTGTGTTCATTTAATTTGAATAGTTGAAAGTTGAGTAGAAAAGAATCTTTTCTCTTTGGTCTTTACGAGATATAACCTAAATGTTGAATTAACCTTGTTTTGCTTGAATTCCATCTATTCTTTACCTGTGTAATATCACCACTAGATCAAAACAAAAAATATCATTGCTAAGGGAATATGTGTGAATAGAATGGAATATTTAAATATGATTATAATTTAAATATTCCATTTAAATTATAATAAAGGTACTAGGACTGCTACATACTTTAGTGTGCTACTCCATTAAGATCTGGATGAAGGAAATACAACAATGGGGGAAATTGTGTGCTCCTATTGTTAATGAAACTAGTTCAAGAATGGATTACATTTTTCATGGTATTTTAATTAAAAAAATGTAGGGTCACCTTACCTAAAGAAAGCATATATAGTACAGTACTATATTGGGTCTAGAAAAATGCAGACAAACCTTTAGATAAGTGGTTCCCAACCTTTTTTTGGCCATGCCCCACCTAAGCATTTCTAAAATCCTTACCCCCTCCAGGTGACATATAATTCTTACTTTACTCAAAAAGTGAACTCTAGTCATGTGGAGGAAGCCTAAAAGGCCATTAACTTGGTTTAAACAAGGTTCAGATTTCCCCCAATAAAAATCAAATTGCCCCACATTGGGAACCACTGCTCTAGATGGTGCAAAGATATAATAAATGAACTCTGCTTTCATCTGTTGGTCATCCAGGTGTTTGCTACCAGCTTTGATAGCTATAACTGTGCTTTAGTTCTTTTCCACTGCAAATAATATGGACATTTATCATGCTTAAGTAACCTAGTTCTATATTATGAAAGTGGTACGACAGCTAGAGAGGCATGCTGCCTGTCTCACAATGCTGAAAACAGGGTCATTTAAAGAAAGACGAAGAGCATTATTTTGCAAATAGAAGGTATTGGGCTCTGGTTGCTGGTGTAGGTATTGGCTGCTTGCTAGATGTTTTGTCACTACTTGCTTAGCACAGCTTCCTGCAGCCTCAGCTAACTTCTGTTTTAGGGAAGTAAAAGAGCTTTCCCATCTCTTTTCTTTGCTCCCACAGCAACCAAACAATTCCTTTGATATTAATCAATTGATAGTCAAAAACTGTCAACCTGGTCTCTGAGGTGGGGTGTGGGAGGAGTCACTGAATGGGTATTGTTACGGCCCAATTGCCTGGAGACTGA